CCAAAGAGGCAGGACTGGTTGGTCCTTCCAGTATCTCTGGGAAATGCATGGTGAGAGTGTGTAATTTTTAGTGAGATGCTGACCGTGCATTAACATATTGACATATATGTGATTTTATTAGAAATCTCTTTTCTTATACTTCTTTGTGTCCTTTACATTATGAAAAAATGTGTTAGTTTATATTAACTAGTATGAGCATATTTACATGTTGCATGAGTGTCATTCCAGACATATAAAAGAGTATTACAAAACAGTGTTGGAAGGAGAGGTCATTGGGTCTGTTACAACCTGTGAAGTTGATTAATTACCTTATTATCAATGTAAATATAATTACATGGGTGGCTACATAATTTTTATTACCTCAATATAAAACAATGCTAGTTTTCCCCCAAATTTGGGAGATATATTCGAGGTACTTGAATTGAAAACCAGCCCATGGGACAGATGTAGTACTCACTGTTGGAAACCAACACTGAGACAACACCAGAGACCAGGGGACGGCCAAACAGGAGAGAAGTGACATTGACGTAAAATACTGTGAGCCAGAGAAAACACGATTTCAGTACTAACCTCATCTTGAAAGTCTCAGAGGTAGGTTTAGACATACAAATGAGCTACACCTCACATAGGTAACTTTACCCAGAAAGCTTTAAAGTTAGTATTAGGCATGTACTTATTTACTATGGTTACTATGAAGGTTAGCGAGTATAAAATTAGAATAGTGGAAGAGTATACTGCATTTTGCAAATGGAATAGGTATATTACTCTAGGGTTAGTTTCAGAAGAAAGAAAAACTCAACAAGCCCCTTTTATAACTTGGGCAACTGGGAGGTAGTTTCACATGGTCACCTTATCCATTTTTATTTATTTTTTTACTCATATGATTAAGTACCTTAATCATGCAAAAACAACAATATGCAAAATAATATCGAACTGTGTTCAAGGTCTAAAAGAAATAAAAAAGGGATGTATCACAGCCCTGTTTTGCTGACTGGAAGTATGCTGCAGAATATCAATGTGTGCGCCCCCTAATGGCCAGACAGCAGGACGTGGGGAACTCCCACCCAGTATAAGGTGGCACTTCGTATTCCCCACACCTTGGCCACATTAGGAGAGAAGAATACTGGAATCCAATAGGAATTCCTCAGAACAGGAAGGGTCCTTATGGGTCAAAAGAAGAAATGAAGTCACTCCCCACTTTAGAGACCCCCAAACACTGTAGCCCACCACATTAACTTTGAGACACAAAAGCAGAAATAGAGTCTTAAGAGGACTGAAGGGGCAGCTGAGACTTCCAAGGGCCTCCAATCAGCTACAATGACACTAACTGCATTTTCTTACTCAGTGCGTCTCTACTTAGCTACATATTAGAATTACCCAGAGAGCTTCCAAAATAAAAGCTGATGCCCATGCAGTATACCCATCCATTCTTTCAAAGCTCCCTAAGTGATACCAATATTCTTTCAAGGTTGAAAACTACCATCTTAGCTGTATCTCAGAAATGAAACTAAATCCAAAGAATTGTAGCAAGCTTCACATATCACATATAGTAATCATTATTATCACCCAGGGCTAGCCAATATTTCCCTTAAATGAAGTTCAAAATTGGCTGGCTCAGCCATTGGATTGTATGGGAAAAATCAGCTAAATAAAACACGATTCTTTGATGGAAATTAAGCTTTCTGCCAACTGTATGTTTGAATATTTGTGGCCCAACTTCAATGAAAACAGGAGTGGTTTTTTTTCTAACTAAATCATGATATTCACAATACACAGCTTGACTGACAGTGCTTGTGGGCAACTGGACAACTTCAGAGATTCCTTTTTGCTCACAAGTACATTGAACATTTACTTTACTCACTTCCAGAACAGGCCTCTGCAAGCGGGACTTGATTCTTGCCGTACTCTGTGGGATTTGGAGCACAGTCCAAGACGATCTAGATTTTAATTTTGTTGACCCTAACTCAAAGAAGTTTGGACTGAATGATCTCAAAGGTATTTTCCAGCTCTTAATATTCTGATTCTGTCATACGTTGTTTTCGCCCTCTTCCTAGGTGCTTGCCCTCAAATCATTTAGATTCCTCTGGTGATACCACTTGTTTTCTCTACTTAGCACATCTTAGGGGCAGAATGTTATGCAGTAACTCAATGGTTTTGCCTGGTATCCAAGAAGTACCAGAGTACTAAGCTTTGCACAAAGGACAGCACAGAGGTTAACCATTATTTATCCACTAAGTGTGAAGAGACGTCTCCTGCAGAGACCAAGAGAGTATTTGTTTCCTAATATAAACATCACTTTTCCATAAAAAATTATTGTCTTAGGAGGCATTCACTGAAGGGAAATTGCTGGCCTTGGAGGCAAATATGTGATAAGATAATTTCTCTTCTTTCATTTCAGCCAAATGTTAAATAAGATACAAATGAAATAACTTTGGCACTATTAATTCTCAAAAGCGGATCTAGGCAGAGACTTCAATAGGCATGAAATCAGCACTTAATTTTTCATTTTCTCTTTTCTGGGAGCCTTTGGTGGAACAGTTTCAATTCTGAATTTAAGCTATGTTGCCAAAAGTTGATTGAAAAAAGCTGGTGCATAAAAAGATGTTTAGGTAGGTTAACACACACACACACACACAACAAAACCTGGATATGAGCATTGTTTAAAAGTAAAATAACTTTTATACCACATTTCTTTATCTTTTTAATATAAAAAGACTCCTTTCTTTAGACTTTGGAACAACTTGGTGCCTAAAAATATATACCTTTTGGTGTTGATTAGATATTTTAAATTTAGGTCAAAACTTGGAAGTTTAAGAACTATATCTTAAGTGGAAATAGTTTGCATAGTTTCAACATTCTCTGTTTTTTCCACATTTCCTTTAATAACATTGGGTTTTAAAGTTATGCTGTATTCTGTCTTCATGTTCTCAGACATGAATGATTTTACCTTTAAATTTACATAGTCAAAGGAATACTGTTCAAACTGGTATGTGTTTTTCTAGTCTTTATTTTTCTAAGATTCCAGGTAACCTCTTCCTATTTGACTGATCCAAATATTTCACCTGGTGTTTCTCAAAATTATTTTATTAGCCTTAGGTTCAAAATAGGTTGATGATATAAATATGAAAAGCTTTTGAGTAACTAATTCTTTCACAATCACAAGATCTTAAGGTGCCACAAGAGGAAACCATTCCTCTTTCAATTTATCCCCACTGCATATTAAACAGAGTACTGACCCAAACTTACACTAGATGAAGGGAATGGATCTCCAATTTAAACTGTGGTTGCTGTTAAAAGATAAATTTTAACTACTTCCACCTAGTTTGAATCCCTTTGAGCCTGTTTTGTTAAAGTTAGAACTGGCTTGAACAAATTTACATTGGACTGAACCATCTTCACCAATTTTCTCTTGGTCTTAACCTTGCACGATACCTGCCTGTCAAGTGAGACATGCCTGCGATGAATTGTCTGTGAGAATGGTACCCAGGTATGGAAGTAAACAGATAACACCACAAAAGAGGGGAGACTGTGTGAAACAAGCAGATGATCAGGATTCTAGGACCAGAAGTTAGGAGAACAGGCAGCTGGGGTTTGTAGAGGCAGAGCCAAGGGAAGATGAATCTGAAAACGGAATGCAACAGGTGGAAGGAAATACAAACAGGGAAATTTGTTGGCGAACACTTGGTATCCGCTGGGATGTTGTGTTATGAGCAGCCTAGTCTGGGGGTGGGGTTGGGGGGTCATGGTCAGGCTTTTAAAGCAGCGAGTTAAACCGAACATTATCCATTAATGCAGGCTGGGCAAAGATGCACAGAGGCTGCTTCAAAATCAAGTGTGGATCACAGTGGGCTTTTCACAGAGTTCCTCTGTGGAACTCTTGCTCCTTTTGCCCTCTCAGGTACTGCATCTCTATAGCTCTGGGAACCCAGCTAGCCTGGCCTAACGCTTCTGGTGTCTTCTTAGTCATTGTGGCAGGCTTCCAGGCTGCAGCTACAGAAAAGGGGCCTTGGGGCAGAGTGAAGAAGTCAGCGGGATAATAATAAGCTTAGTCAAAACAGACCTCAACACCTATTCTTGGAAGAGTGGCCAGGCTGAACTGTACAAATGACACAATGGTCTTCTGAGCCAATGGCTTCTCCCCATTGTAGAGTGCCAGCCTCAGTAGTACAGGGTAAAACAGAGAGTATATGGATTTTTCTAAGCACTGGACACAATCCAGATGATTCAGAAAAGTAGGGGAGTTACAGGTGAACCAGTTACACCCACGATTCCAGAGGAAGGGTCTGATCTGCTTCAGGGTATAGAAAAATGTATAAGCCATTATACAAACTATTCCAAGTTCCTCCTCAAATTAATACACGATCAGAAGACCAGGGTTCAAAATAAGAATTTTGAGTATGCTGTAGAGCTTAACACTTCCTGTAGAAAGTGTGCTTTTTTTGTTTGAGATCAATAATGTCCTTACAAAAGGGGTGAACTGGACCTTGCTGCTCAACCTACCACCATGGCTATGTCAGTGTCAAGACCTTGAGAGGGAAGGAAATTCAAAATAAACTCTAACAGTGCCATTCCTCAAAGTGCTTGGGAATCAAAGGGGGGGGTGTGTGTGGGGTGTGTGTGTGTGTGTGTGTGTGTGTGTGTGTGTGTGTGTGTTTGTGTTTTAAGTATGCTTGATCTAGAAGCATCTGAAATCAGTGTCGGCCTGGTTCAGCAAAGGGAGTCATGACACAGGCAGAACACCAATGACCCTGGAAATGCAGGTGACCTTTCATTACACTCTGCATTCTGTGGTTCTTTCAGGGTGGCTCCAGAGCTCTGCCTGGCAATGTCATCGAATGTATGTGGTGACACCACCAGGCATGTTGTTTTCTCAGCTTCCAGTATGTCCACCCATTCCTTGGCTTGCCTTGGAACTGAGACCTCAAAACCAGTTTAAACTAGTTTGGATTATTCTGAGACAAGCTCATCCTAGGTTCAAAATGTTGAAGGAAAATACTAACCTCAGCTCATCCTTCAGAGACAATCCTGGGTAAGTTTGTTGTTTTTCTTGAACAAACAGCTGCTTCCAAAGAGGTATTGTAGATAATATTGCTGGAATCTTACCCTAAGGAAGATAGTCATTAATTCAGAAATAAATGAATCAGAGACAATAGCCAATAAATATTTCTCCAAGTGGCCCCATTGCTGGACTTCTCCTACTAGGCAATAGGCCTCATCGAACTTGCCCAGATCTCAGGATCTTTTGAACCACAGTTGTTCCTGTGAGCCACTTTCAGTCTGCTGTCTACCATCTGCTGCCTAGTCACAGGGAGCACACACATGTGGTACCGTTTAGATGCACCATGGAGGCTGACTATAGCACACGTGGCTAACTGGGAATCAAGTCAGGGTGGAATTTTATTCAAGGATATCTGCTAAATGCAAATCATTTTGCTTATAACAGAATCATTGCAGTTTGATCAAATAAAATGATCTCAAGCGAGTCCAAGGAAGAAAAAGCTTGTTCATTGTTTGTACCTCTGTGAAATCAGTTCCATTTAAGAAAAGTTTGTTTTTATTTGCTTAGAGAACTGAAATGAAAATGCTGACTTCACACCTTGGTAAAATTATTCATAGACTTTTAAAATATAGACATATGTAATCTATATTATATTTTCCATTACCATTTAGGCTCCTTATGCTCCCGTCCCTCCAGCTATCACCACCCTGTTGCCCATGTCCACGAGTCCTTTTTCTTTTTTGCTCAATCTCTCCACCCCTAACTCCTCCTTCCCCACAGATTTTTGAGACCCAAACCAGTCTGCATCCCATGCATTATATAGTAGATAATGAGAGAAAATTAGACTTTTAAGAACATCATGTATATGAAATGAAATAAACATTATAACTTTGGAGTATGAATCGGCATTGGCACAGAAGCACCAATTTTACTTGCTTTACAAATGCAGAGAATCTAATCGAAAATGGGAGTAAAGGCTGAGTGTAAAATGTAGGAGGTTCTGCTGAGTTTGAGTTTTATGTTATTCTTTCCCTTTACCCAAAGATACTAGTACAAAGAAACACAAATATTTGAGCATGTGTTTAAATACAGATTGCATCAGTCAAATGTTTGGGGCTTATTTGGTTCCATGTTGCCTGACTGGAAGTGATGGGGTGAGGTTATGATAGGAAAAATACAAGAGGTTCATGGCCAAAACCTCAGGGCCCCACTCTCCTGAAATCACTCATGTGGGAGTTTCGAACCCAGGAATCTTCGGGCCTAGGAAGAAGAATCAAGCCTGCTGTTCAGGGACTGTTTCAGCAGCCCCAGACCAAGGGGTCCCAGTTCATACCTGAATGCTGTCCTCATTCGTGATTCTGACCATTTTCATTACATTCTTGAATTTAATTTGTACATTCTACCTTATTATGGCTTCACTTAGTTTGCTCCTCCAGCTAGTGGTAGGTACTTTTTACTTTTAACCTTTTAGTTTCTAGTTTGTGTTGTCTCATTTCTAACTTGTATCACATTTGCTTAATTCTTGACGTATTTTTGCCCCTTTGTCCTGCTCATGTTATACCATTTTATCCTACCGTTTTATTTTGTTACATTTTCTTGATTGTGCTGTTACCTACTTTAGCACACAATCCATGTCTTCCTTTAACGTTGCCCAATGTTTGGAAATGGCAAACAGAAACACTGGCCAAAAGGGCGGGTCCGGCAGGTTGGTCTGGGCCCGAAGCCCTTAATGCCAGAAGAGATTCTTTTCCCTCTCGTGGCTTTTACAACATGTCTTCCACATCTCCATAAACCATTCCTAAATTCTCTCCCTAGATATATCTTCTGATTGTGAAATCAGCCTGAAAGGCAAGTCTGACTATTACCAGGAACCCCTTATTATGCAAGGAAGCTGAATCGACCTAAGCCAAAAAACACACTCTCAGCACAAAGTCAGTGTGCCGCTATGGACAGCACACATAAATACCTGAATTACAAATTAGCCAATTTATTTAAGGAACTGAGAAAAATGCCATGCTCTCTAGCGAACAGAACTGTTGGATCCTGGGTAGATTCTGGGAACAAACCACAGTTGACCAGAAGAAAGAAGGTCACAGTCACTGGGACCAGAAGGAAATCCAGCAGTTTAAATTCAAGGAGAGAAACTGACTCGCATTCCCCCGGACTAATCTTTGTTTCCTCTATAAAGAGGGTGGTTTTGTTGTTGTTGTTATTGTTATTTTTCTTGCTACTTAAATAACATTGTCATTTAGATCACTCAAATTACATAAAGTTCTAAGTAAGCTATCACTTGGTATCCCACCCTGGAATGATCATTAAAATTTAGAGGCCACCTTTTCATGCCTCTCCTTACGCACAAGTACCCGTAAACATGTCATGTTAGATAAGCGGCATTTATCTTATATGCTTTCTAAAAATGTAGTCTGTGTTCTTACTATCCCCTCTCTGCCTTTTCTTCCCACTAATTTTACGCTTCCCATTTAATTCTATTCTTCCAACATCTGCAACACATCACTCTGATGAGTAACTCACGTTAACAAATTAGTTGATAAATGTTTATGTTTTTATATATATGCTCATAAACATAAATGTACACATTCATGTACATAGGCATACACATATATGTTGATCAGTATGAAAAGGCTAGGTTATGCTGCTGTAACAAATGATCCTCAATGTCAACAATATTTCTTGATCATAATATATGTATATTTTTATTTTAGGAAAATCTGCAAGTTATCTTTATTCCTAGCTCCTGGCTGATTGAGAGATTGTTACACTTGTGGTAGCAGAAGGAAAAATAATGTAGTGACACCAGTGAGCTAAGACCCAGAAAGAGAAATCCCACCTTAGCCCCCACTTCTTCAAGGACACCAATCTGGCCCTTCCTTGGCCGTGCACCTCCTAATGGGGCAAGCAGTCTAAAGGAGAAAGGCATTGTCCCTTCTGGGTCTATACAATCTGGACTGTGCTGCAGGCACTAGGATTCCACAATTCCTGCCCCAGTGGGCTCTATGAGGGCCTACTCCCTGAGTTTATCCCTCGAAGGGCAGACAAGTCTGTAGGAGCATGTATCCTATGAGCCCTAGAGGTAGCCAAGAGTGTGATTTATGTGAGGACTGTGGATGGAGCCTGAAAATGTGGGTGCAGATTGTACACAGAAATGAGCTCAAGCCCCTCTGGTGGGGGACAGATGGAATGTAGAGGACCTACTTTATTTCAGGAGGACAGTAAGTATGCTGCACAATTTAATATAGAAGGCATACATTTTTTGATTTTGTATTCTGTTGCACTGATCTGCATTTCTAGTTAATGCTAAAACCACAGTGACTTCATGGGAAGTCGTGTTCTGTATTCTAATGACCAGTAAGGCAACTCCCCTCTCATTTTTATTATTTTCTCTCTTCCCACATATTATTGGCTATTGTTGGATATTAATTTTTCCACATAATTTTTAAAAAATCATTTTATGCACTTAATTACAGAACATTGTTGAGATTCTAATAGGAATTGTATTATATTTATATGCTTATCCAAATAGAAAACTGATATTTTAATTTTACCAGTAAGTATTCCCATCTCAGAATATAGTATCCTTCTACTAATTGAGATTTTTTTCTGACCTTTAATAAAATTGTATACAATTGGATCTAAACTATATTTAAATATTTCTGCTTAAGTTTATGCTAAATATTTTTATAGTTTTTATCACTATTGTGTATAAAATAATTTTTCATTTTTATTTCTACCTTGTTATTGCTAGCACAAAAAACTTATTGGTTTACTTATATTTATCTTGTATCCATCTTCACCAAATACACTTACTGTTCCAGTGGTGTTTCTTTATAAAAGGTTTAAATATCAGCAAAATAGAGAAACTTTGTTATCTTATGTTTTGATAATTTATTCAATTTTCTTGTGTTATTACATTTGCTAGAACCATCAATGCCATGGCAATTAAACTATCTAGTCTCTGATTTTAATTTAAATATATTTTAGTATTGATCATGTAGAAAGACATTAGCTGTTGGTTTCTGGTGAATTGTCCTTATTTCATTGAAGTAAATTATACATATTTTTTCTTTATTTTGAGTATTTTTTAACCATCTGTTGAACTACAGTCCTGGAGTCTTCTCTTTTCCTTCCTTTCTTCCTTTCTACCTTCCTTTCTCTTGGCACTGTATTTATTATATAGGGTCAAGTTCAGCTGTGAAGAGCAGATAACCCAAAGTCACAGTGGCTTAAAACATACAGAAGTTTACTTTTCTCTGTTGTGTAAATGCAGTAAGTGAAGGTGTGGTAGGACAGATGTGCAAGCATTTAGACCCAGGCTCAGTCTATCCTGTTGTTCTGTTTGAGGTACCAGAGCTGCCAGAGCTGCCTCAGGGTCAAGCAGCAGGTTGTAATCTTGCCAGAAGGAAAAAACAATGGAACAATAAAGAGCAAGTTTCCTCCCTTTGATACACCTTGCCAAAAGATGACACACAACTCCTGCTTGCATTAAATTGGTCAGAAATTAGTCATCTGGCCATGCCTAAATGCATGAAAGGCTGGGAAATCATCTTTCTTACTTAACATATTGATTATATGCATTTAATGTACATACATATTGATTATATACATATTGACTAATGTAAATATTTTGTGTGTATAGCCAATATGCTAAGGTAAGTGTATTATATATTAATATTTGTATATACATTTATGTTCAATATTTATATGTCATATATTTAAATATATACTACCATTTTTAGTGGTTGCCCTAAAGTTTACAGTATACATTTACAACTAACCCAAATTCACTTTCAAATAGCACTATACTAGTTTGCAAGTAATGCAAGTCCTTGTAAGTATAAAAATAATTCTAATTTCTCTTTCCTGTTCCTTGTATCATTGCTATCATTCATTTCATTGATACAGGCATGCATAATTGTACACATATGCATATAGTTATGCACACAGAAGGTAGATACGCAAGTGTACATAATGAAATACATTGTTGGTATTATTTTGGACAAATTGTTATCTATTAGATAATTAAAAATAAGAAATATAAAGCTTTTTATTTTACCTTTACATATTTCTTTTTCAGTACTCTTCCTTTATGTAAATATGATTTTCAGGCTTATATTATTTTTCTTCTTTCTAAAAAGCTTCTTTTAGTATTTCTTGCAAAGCAGCTTTACTGATAACAAATTTTCTCAATGTTTGTTCTCTTTCACTTTTAAGAAAAATGTCACAGAATTGTAGATTGCTGGGTTATTTTTTTTCCTCTCAACACTTAAAAAATTCACCTTCCTCTCTCCCTGTCTGCATGCTTTCCGAGGAGAAGTGGATATAATTCTTGCTTTTGTTCTTCCACATGTAAAGCACACTTTTCTTCTAGCTTCTTTCAGGATTCCTTTCTTTTTGATTTTTCTGTACATTGAAATGATGTGCCTAGATATAATTTTTTGGCACTTTTATCCTGCTTGACATTCTCTAAGCTTCTTGGGTTTGTGGTTTGGTGTTTGGCATGCATTTGTGGATATTGTCAGTCACTGTTGTTTCGAAGATTTCCTCTGTTCCTTGCCATGCTTCTTCTCCTCTGCTCTTCCCAGTCCCCACATTACACCTCCTGTAGCTGTCCTGTACCAAGTCCTTGGATACACAGTTCCTGTTTTCTAGACTTTGCTGTTCTATTGATATGTCTTCTAACACAGAGATTCTTTCCTCAGCTTTCTCCAGTTGACTAATTAGCTCATCAAAAGCATTCATCATTTTGGTTAATGTTTTTTTTTTTTAATCTCTAGCATTTTTCTATGTTCTTTCTCAAACTTTCCATCTCTCTGCTTACATTGTCCATCTGTCTTTGCATGCTGCCTGCCTACTTTACTCATGAAAGCCCTTGGCATATTAATCATAGTTACTTTAAATTCCCAGCCTAATAATTTCAACATCCTGTCATGTCTGGTTCTGATGTTTGCCCTGTCTCTTCTCATTGTGTTTTTTGCCTTTCAGTGTGCTTTGTATATTTTCCTTGATAGCCAGACGCGATGTACTGGTAAAAGCAATAGCTGTAAACGGGCCTTTAGTAACCTGGTGGTCACGTATCAGGCAAGGGAAAGCATCTCATGGCCCTGTGACTAGGTCTCTGCTATTCATGAGCCTGTGACTCCAAACTGTGGACGTCACAAGTGTTTCCCCACATTTTCTGCCCCCTTACATGAGACAGAATGACTTCTGTGGGCTGGACTTGGGGATTTCCCTTCCCCCAGACCAGCTGGGCTCTCATCAGCTAGTTTCTTCTGAACTTGTAAAGAAGAACAGAGGGCTTGGGAGTATTTCTCCTCCCCATGCCAGAAGCATGAGGGGATTTTTCTTCAGTGTTCACTGTGGGATCCCAGCCAGCTCCCAGAGGTAAATGCCACAGTATCGTGGGGTCCCCCTATGACTGGGTCAACCTGGAGTTTTCACACTTGCCCACGCTGAGCCTTGAGTAACTGGACAATTCCTGCCCAGGCTTTTCTCCCCTGGCCCTGGCTCCCTTAGGCCAGGTCAACTTTGAGTCTCCCTTAGGTAAATAGGCAGTGACACTCTGTATTCATGGCCTGTCTTTCCAATTTTGGAAGCAGTGATTTGCTTTTTGTCTTCTCCTCTTTCACGGATCCAGGTAGAGTTGTTTAATTTTAAGCCTGTTATTTGCTGTGAGAATGGAGTGGAAACCTCCAAGCTGCTTGTATGTGACATCAGAAACTGGAAGTCAGAAATACATTCTTCATTCTAAGAAACCACCTCCCTGGCTAAAATTTTTATTACCATTAAAGATGTGGAGAAGAGGTATTGCGAGCCAATAATTACCTCCACATAGTTAACTTTGACATTTATATTTTTATCCTTTCTTCTTATTAATTTAAAAAATATTTTATTTATTGATTTTAGACAGAGGGTAAAGGAGGGAGGAAGAGGGGGAGAGAATCATCAATGTGTGGTTGCATCTCTCATGCCTCCTACTGGGGACTTGACCTGGCCCACAACCCAGGCACATGCTCTGACTGGGAATCCAACCAGTGACCCTCTGGTTCACAAGACAGCACTCAATCCACTGAGCCATGCCAGCCAGAGATTATCCTTTCTTTATTATAATGAATTATATTAAGTTTCCTGCCATTGAAAATTGAGATAAAAGCTATCTAGTCACATTGTATTATTTTAATATATATCCCCACAAATACAGAATACAAAATATGACCCAGGAAGAAATAGAAAGCATGGACTTACCATCACAAAAGGAGATATTACAACACTTGATGAAGGTCTTCCATTAAAGGATAGCAGCACCACTTGATTTTAAGACTTAGTTCCATCTACGTTTCAAAATGAAAAGCAAACAATTCAAATGTTATTTAAATCACGTCAGATCATATCATATGAAATATTTCCAAATTACTTTAGTGGCCGTAATAAAGCTGTTGGTTGGGAACCAAAGGATGCTCTCACTTGTCATTGCCAGGTTCACTCTATTGTGGTTTTTAAAAAATGAGGTCTCCTAAATGCTGGTGGGATAATTTAAGCCACAGCTACCAATGTAGGCTTACAGCCTTTCTAAAATCTTCAGAAAAGTAGACCCTATTTCTCAACTTTTTATGATATTGCTTAACTGCTCTTAGCCTCAATTTCTTCATTTATAGAATTGGAACAATATTAGTATTCTTGGGACAATTAAATTAGATAATGTATCTTACTATTTGCTACGAGTTTGGTGTATAAGTTATCTGTTATGAGTTATGTGTATGATGAGTGCTCAGTGTTCTCAGGAATGACAGTTTTCACTTCCTGTTACCAGTGAAGTAGACTTTGTAATGTAGAGGACCTATCCTATCAATCTAGCTAAAACAATTTGCCAAGAGAAAATTATTTTATAACTTAGTTTTGAGTTTCTTTACTTTTTTGGCTTTATGAACAACAACAATAAAAAGACAAGCAACTAGAGATAGCTATTTTAAAAATCATTTTTACTTCAAGTAAGAATTTCTCACCTTTTCACCAAAATTATAGGTAGCTTTTAAGAATGCATGAAAATACAATATAATAGCATATATTAGACATAGAAACTTTTCAAATAAAAAAGAGATATTGAAAGGATAAAATATAAATTATCTAAAGGAAAACTCTGCCTACTAGGGAGGTCTATGAGCTTGCTGTGGCTGGGCTGGGAATTTAGCCATAAAATTTCTTGCAGTACATGTTGCAAGATACTAACTAAGCTCCCATGCATTTTAAACTCAATTTTTGCTTAGTTTCCTATTTTTAAAAGAAGGTCTTTGTGTGTCTTAATAATCAGACTCTTCTTTTAAAGGTGTTTAAAAATTATACTGATGTCTGGTAGGATTTCAAAAACCTTATAAATTCTGTATATGATAGACACCAATCTAAACATTGATTGTTTCAAAAATATCTGAGGAGAATTAGTGACATTTTCCAAAACTACACACACAGATGACTCAGATGACTTGGGTTTAGAGAGTCATTTGATTAGGGGCCATTTTCCTGGAGGTGGGGAAGAAAACGATATGATTTAATTAGAAAAAAATAGGCTAATGAGATTTAGAAATATAACACTTTGAATGGTAACTAATAGAAACCACATATTTTAAATCAAGAAAAATAGGTTACAGAAGGCTTTATAGTGAACTTCTCTTTGTTTGCTGATAAGTTTCTTGGGCTACAACTAAAGTGACTATTTCTTGCTCAAGCTCAGCTTCACTAAAACCACCGCTGTCCATGTCTGGAAACAACGAGAATGCTGTCATGTTAAGGGGTGGGCTGGCTATGACGGATCCAGAGGCTCTCAACAAACTACCTTTGGGTCTTCAGTGAATTTTGTCCGACTGCTTGAGAGAGGTTTCTGCACTCTCATCATTTCACATTAGAATCAAATAGGCTCCAGGTGCAGTTTCCCACTGCTTTCCTCTGTCAGTGTGAGGACGCAGCAAGGGGCCTTGACTGCTTGCAGCTGTCATTTAACTACCATTAGCCTCGATGACAGGAACAGAATACGAGTATGGAGTGAGTTATGGGAACTTAATGTAAGGTCCAACTACTAATACAGCTGCCAGATTTTCATTTTAGAACCAATGCAAGAATGGGTAAGGAAGAAATAAGGTCCAAACATCACATTTTCAAGATTGTTTCCAGTCCACTTTTCAGACCTTAGAGGACTAATATGCTAATGTTGTTTTAGAGCAGAAGTTGGCCATTTTTTTTTCTGTAAAAGGCCCATATAATCAATATTTTAGGCTTTGCCAGTAACACTATTCTTGTGTATCCACTCAACCCTACCACCGTATAAGATGAAAGCCACTATAGACAATACCTGTACAAATGGGCATAGCTGTGTTACCACAGAATTTTATTATCAACTCAGGAGACCAGATTTAAACTGCCAACAGTATTTTGTGCACTCTTTTTTAAAAAACAAAAAACAAAAGCTGAGACTATATCCTCTAGTTATATGACTGATTTGCATGTTGTTTTAAAAGATTTTATTTATTTATTTTTAGACAGAGAGGAACGGAGGGAGAAAGAGAGAGAGAAACATCAGTGTGTGTTTGCTTCTCACTTGCCCCCAACTGGGGCCTGGCCCACAACCCAGGCATGTGCCGTGACTGGGAATTGAACCAGTGACTCTTTGGTTTGCAGACCGGTGCTCAATCCACTGAGCTATGCCAGCCAGGGCTGATCTGTGTGTTTTTAATGATAAAATTGTATTGTCATTCAAAACTGCCAGGTTGATTTGTATAGTTATTTGTCATCAAAATATTACATTTTTTATAATGCTGGGTAACAACTCTAAATTCTCTAGACTTCATGCACTAACAAGCTTACCATTTAATGATATTTCAAATGCATAGCAAACCACATGATTTTATGAGAGAAATCACACAAGAAAATGTTGAAAACTAGAGAAAACTAATTCTTCATATTTAGTGACTTAAAAACATACACATTCTTCTAAAACAATCTAAGGATTATTTTTTTGTACCAAATTTATTTTTACTTCAATTTCCTGGAAAAATGAGAGTAGTTAAATATAATTACAGAATCCAGATATGGCTGAATTGGCATTGAATGATCAGTGCTTCCTCATTAACTGCTGAGGGCAGAATATTTTATGAAGCTCGTAACTAACTAATATTTTTCTTGTAACTAACACTGGCTGTTGCTATGATTTCCAGTATAACATAATTGTTGTTGGGAGAGAACAGCCTGTAGGGAGACAGATGTAAGGGCTTATAGCATTTTTATTCCAGGGGCTCATTTGCTGGCTCTGTGATTTTTTAAGATAGGGTGATAAACAGTCTCAGGGGTGCTATGAATGGGTTCCCTACAGGGAGACACAAGAATACTGAAAAAAAAAAAGACTCATAAGCAAATTATGAAAAACTCAAAAAAAGTGAAGACACAAAAAAGCTTTTAAATAATAAAGACACATGCTGACAGGTACATCTGACATTGTGTAAAAATCATGCCTTATTAATTTACTTTTGTTACACATAACAAAGCAGACTTTACATCACTGTGCAGTATTTCAAGTGCCTCTCTCCCCTCTGTAAACATTCCAGTGTCTTATTGACAAAAGCACCAGAATGATATCTCCAAAAAGCTTTTTCTATTCTCTGTAATTTGGGGGCATAGATGTGGAATATTTTATGGTCAGATCCAATTAATCTGCTATGGTTTAGCTTTGTGAGGCTCGAATGTCTGTTGCACTCAGCTGTTAAACCTCTAAATGGGCCAGAGCTCTTTAAAATTTAAAGAGTAAGAGAAGATTTGGGACGTCAACGAGGAAAACATTATGTTCTCTAATATAGTATTGCATTTGAAATGAAAATGATTAATGGAAATGATTATTCATAAAGCAGTTTTTCTTCTAGATACTTGAATTACATTTGCCTTAAATGTATGGCTCTACTTCAAGTTCCACCATTTTTTTTCATGTTCTATGGCAAAGCCTTACTTTTCATGACATTTATACCTTTTGGATATTTATAAACTGTTACCATTCTCTCAGTTTTTTGCCTTTAAACTTGATTCATATTTTCTTGGGTGCATGGATATTATACAATAAAATAGAAGCAATTAAATGACAAAGCACCAGCCTCCTCTTGTGCTGATAGGCCCTAAAACCCTTCATCTCACTCCAACAAGAAAGCTTTTAACTCTCTACCAATTTCTAACCATTAACTCTCATCTTTAGTTCTTTATCCCTCCAAATACTGACGATTCATGTACTTTAAGGCAGCTTGGCAGGTTTACTATATGTAAATACTGGGAGAGTCAGACTCCATGCCAGTAGTTGTAAACTGTAGACGCACAGTGATTATTTTCAGAAATGGACGTAGGGAATGTCCACAGATGTTTGAAGTTTAGCCTCTTTGAAAATGTATTTGAGTTATGGTGGAAATAAACAAATATCGTTGCAAGTAAGCAATTAAGACATATGCTGTTATAATAATGCCACGCTGTGTTCCCCAAGTTGTGTGTTTTAAGTGTGTTATTAATTCAAAATCTGACATTGACCAACATAGTGAATACAAATCAGTCCTTCTGAGTGAACAAAAATATCATCAATATGATTCCTATACCAAAAATAATGCTTATTCTACATTTCCAAAAATATAGAAATGATAGTTCTCACTATAAAAAAAATCTACCTATGATAAATAATGTATCCTCGGCATTTTTCCTTAAAGTATAAATATGAATTAACTAGTTCTGGGATTATAAGTATTAACTGGATTAAATTACATAAACAAATGCAAAATATACTCATTACCTCATCTACCAACTATTTTTATCAGCTAACCATCCACACAAGGATTGAAGTAAGGTTCTTGAGCTTTACTGTACTACAGACAAAAACACTTTGGTTGTATTGTGCTCAGGGGATGTCATGTAGTCAAATTATTAAAATGAAGGACCCGCAGTGTCCAGCTCACTGGCCTCCAAATAAGCTAGATTCTGTTAGTTCTATTTTGAAATGGCAGTTCTTAAGATGTCACTGTGACCCTGAGGTAGCTAAACTCATGCATTAGTCTTAGGAATATTTTTTGTATATTCCACTGGGTTTTTAATGGCAAATTTGGCCTTTAACATGGAGCATATTGGAAAAAGAAGACTATTTTCAATTCTCTTTTTATGTTGTACTCTTGAGAATGGCATGTTTGCGATGGACAGGGCTACTAAAAATATAATTTAGAAATGAACACTTTTTTAGGTTGACAAATGACTGCATTCTATTTAAATGGCATCTAGTTCCATGATCTTCTGACAATGAGCATAAGTTCCAGGTACATATTAGTGT